AGACTAAAGAGATCATTGTGGACTTCAGGAGAAAACCTCTAAAGCATCCCCCACTGACCATTGATGGTGCTGTAGTGGAGAGAGTGAGCAGCACCAAGTTCCTGGGGGTGCACATCTTTGAGGACCTCTCCTGGACCAACAACACCACATCACTGGCCAAGAAAGCTCAAACATGCCTCTACTTGCTCCGCAAACTGAGGAGAGCCAGTGTCCCACTCCCCATCATGGGCTCTTTCTACTGGGGCACCATTGAATTACTTGAATTCAGTTTTCATATTCTATTTATTCTGTGTTTATTCTACTGTTATTCTATTTTAGCTTCTTAAATGGTGTAGGCATTCAACATTAGGTGAGAGAGAAACAGTATTCCAATGCTTCTGTAGGTCCTGCACATATAGTGAATTGACAATAAAAATCTTTGATCTTGATAAACATACATTTGGGTATAGGCCCATGTTTTGTACCTTAAACAAGAGTTGAGGTATATGCTGAGGTGGAACATGGGCAAATGGGCAAAATGTTTGATGAAAGCATAAATGAGGCAGCTAAAACTAACAAAGAGTTGTACAGAAGCCAAAAAGTGCTTTTATTTTAGCCGAGGTGGAGTCGAAACTTGAATCGGGTTTGAACTGCGCTGTGTAGTATCACACTTAGTGCCAATTAATTCTTTTATGATCTGTGCTGTGAACGTGCATAATGAATTCATCCAGATTTGCCAAAGCCAAACAGACACGTCAAATCTAACCCTGACCCAAAATCATAAGAGTATGGACCTGACTCTTTCTCACTGCACTTGTAAGGCTAGAGTTCAGCAGCTCTGTGAGACAACACGACTGACCATTATCTACACCAGGAAGAGGGAGTGGCAGTGGAAGAAAGACGCTTGTGTATGTGTGGAAAAGTACTGCTGTGGTGGCCCACAAGGCCAACCAAAACAGAAGGGAGAGATAGGCAGGGTTACCCTGATCACAGGCAGGTTACTACATGACTTTTTCACTTTGCTAGTGAACTGAAAAGCAGATTAATCATTTGCTTAGAAAGTTATTACTGGAAGTTGTTATTCTGCGAAATGGTCATTACAGGAAAATTTTTTGTGGTCAAACCAACATAAATCTCATCAAAGCTGTTGTACTTACTTATATAATCATGTACACCAAATGCTGTGGCTCACACAACATTGATTATATGATTATTGAACACTTTACAAAAGACAGAACCTCGGTGTCCCACACACACACACACACACACATACGTGTGAGTTGACACGTCTACCTCTCATGCGTGTATGTGTGTGTGTGAATCTACATTTCAGACTTTACATAACGTTTGAACCTAGCAGGGGCGTTATGCTTCACCGGCTTTGTTGGCCTTTTGCATATGTCACTCTTGCCTTGGGGTTTCTGTTGCTGTTCCAGTCCATCTCTGACCCCTGATGTTTACTCTAGCCAGGCTTGCAATGATGTCAGGTGACCTCTAGTTATTTCAGTCATCCTTCACACCCAGGGGAAACTACACTTCATGACATTTTTTACAAACTGAATCTAATACTATGTGTAGAAGTGTAATGCATCATATGAAGCATAGTGTTATTCCAAATTTGACACTATAATGGATGACTGATATCACAATGACCAGCTAATTTGTAGCTTTTCACACAGGTCACTCCACCACCCTAGCCTCTTTATGTGTTATTTCATGCTGTTGATTTAAGTAAGATTAAATGTGTGTTTATTACAGGAGGTGAGCAGAATCCTTGTTGCTGCTCACATTCATTGAGAGTTCCTTCACGTCACAGCCTTTTTTGCCAAATCTAACTGTATATTCATTTATTTAATATAGTCAAGTCAAGTCAAATCACAAATTTGCCCCAAGGGGCTTAACAATCTGTACAGCATATGACAACCTCTGCCCTTAGACCCTTAAAATGGTTAAGGGAAAACTCTCTGAGGGGGGAGATTGGATGGAAGAAACCTCAGGAAGAGCAACAAGGAATGGCTCCTTCTTCCAGGATGAACAGACATGCAATAGATAACATGCATACAGATTTACTGTATGGACATTTAGAATGACAAAATTGTGGCTCAGAAGCGCGGTTGTCCCCCATTTAGAAAGCTGGAGGGTCGACTGCCATTCTCCCCAGTCCACATGTCGAAGTGTCCTTGGGCAAGATACTGAACCCCAAGCTATTCCCAATGGTCAGAGCAGTACCTTGCAGGGACAGCACCACCATCACTGTGTGTGTGAGTTAATGCCACAGATGGCTGCTTTTGTTCTGTACCGGAGACAAAGTCTATGTGTGTAACATACTTGGCCAATAAAAGTGATTCTCATTATCATTAAATTGAAAACACAAAGAACATGATCTAGAAGGACAAATAACTTCTTAGAGCTTCCAGTAGACCTGAGCCACATGACTTGTCTGGTCTTCCCAAAAAAGACTGTTAGACAACTTCATTTCATTCAAAACGAGGCTGTCATAGTTTTAACAAGAACTGAGCACATCACTGCTGTTCTTAAGTCCTTACACTAGCAACCAGCTACTTACAGAATGGTTGCTAACATGCCATTGCTAGTTTATAAATCACTCAGTGGTATGTGGCCAAATACATGTCTGATCACCTTGAAGACTACAAGCCCAGCAGAGTTCTGGGATTTCTCAGGAAAAGGTCAACGGTAGAACCTCGGGTCAGAACCAAAAAGGGTGACGCTGTTTTTAGCTGCTCTGCTGCGCACAGAGGGAGCCAGCTTTCTGATGACCTTAAATGCTCCACAACTCTGGCACTTGCAAGACTCAACTGAAAGCTCTGCTGCTTTGCTGTGCCTTTGATTTGAAAAGTTTCTGCGCTGCACCTATGTTTTTCTGCGTTGCATCTGGGGCAGCTTATTTCTACACTATAACTCTTAGAGTCATTTTTAAGATTTAGTGGGATATAAGACTGCTGTGTTTATGTATAAAGCCAGGAACAATTTATTACCTGGTGGAATTCAAAAACTATTTAATGAAAGGGGGGGGATACAATTTAAGGGGTCAGTTAAATTTAAAAATTCATGCTATACGTACAACCAAAAAAAGATTTTGTATTTCCATAAGTGGGGTAAAACTATGGAATAATTTAAGTGTAGACATAAAAAATAGTAATAGAATTGACGAGTTTAAACATAAATATAAAGGTATGTGTCAATCAAGATATATGCAAGAACAGGCTCAATGATTAATTACATGGACAATTGTGGGTGTGGTGTACATTTTGTAATAATTCTTTAGTATATTACTTGTGTGATGTAAGAATGTTAACACTGTTATAATCTTTTTTTAGTATAATACTTGTGTGGGTAGAAGTGAATCATTTACTGCTTGCAAACCAATGATGGTAAGATGATGTCATGGGGTAGGACTGGATAAGTCTGACTTCTTCCTACTCCATTCAAGCATGTACTAGGTATAAGCAAATTGATATTGGATTATGTGTATGTATGTTGTCATATCAACTGTTTTTACATGCTTGAAAGAATAAATCAAATCAAATCAAATCAAATCTTTCAGCCAAGTTTACTCTGTTTGTCTTTTTATCCTATAAGTTGTAATTGCTTTAGTCATGTTACATTAGAGGTTTGACCCCTTACTTTAACCAAAATCAATTTATTAACAACTTATATAAAACCAGACTATGTGGATTTAACCCTTTTTTAAATATTTATCAATTCCCATAGCAACAAACAAAAATACACTATCATTTAAAGCATAATAGAACAGTGAATAATGTGGGACAGATAACAAGGCTGTTGAGGTTCATCAGGCATCAGATGTCCTGATCCCCTGTGGTTAGCTCATTTAAACACACATTGTGTTGTAACTTGCTTTCATCACACTGAGCCAGCAGAGATATTCCGGGTGTTTTAAAGCAACATTAAGTTGTGAAATATCAGAATATTGAAATGCAACATTGTCAAGATATGCAGATGCTGAAAACTGGCCAAAGCTTGAGAAAAACAGAGGAAAGAGTCCAAGGTCTATGGATGAAGTTGGTATACATTTTGATGCAAAATCTTTCTTTACCATATTTGCAAATGCAAATTCTATTTGCATAGGACACCAGCTTGTAATGTTTGCATGATGGGAGGTCTGTATTTGTATTCCCCTTTTTTATTTAGATATAAATAGTTTAAACTATTTTCTACTTCAATAGTTTCCCCATTTTCTACTTCTGGCTTCTGTCTTTGTGCCAACCTAATTTTCACTTCCACTTTTATCTACACTCTGTTACATTTTTCTTTTGCTACACTTTAAAGAAATAAAAGTCAGCATAGCGTCATACTGCTGGTGCAGCATAGCAAAATATAAATGCTCTGGGAATGATCAGAGGTGGCTGGAGTCATCTGCTCCAGCAGTGTGCCTCTGGGAAATGGGGTGGGAGGGTTACCACTCCTACAAAAACAAGAGTTCCAGTTTTAAGCATTCCTGTCAGCAAACAGATACCATGCAAAAGAGTCCAGGGTGCTAATGTAACACTGATACCTTACTGATACCTACCCGATATATGTCACTGAAAAAATGAAAGTGCATGTGACCCTAAAATGTGTAGCATTATACTGCCATCTAGGGGGTTTTACCATAAAACTACTGCACACTGGCAATCAATGTTCCCTTGTATCCTGCTCCATCTATGTGGGCGGATTAGGAATTACATGAGAACAAACACACCATCCAGCCACTCATAAACAATTCAGGCCAATCTTTAATTTTCTATTTCCTGCCTTATTTGTTTCTATTTGGATATTAATGTATGCGTTCATGTCTGTGCATGTGTGTATTGTGTGTGAAATACAATGACTTCTAGTACTCCTGTTTCTTTATCAGCTTAAGGAAACATCAGCATTTTGTTTGCCTAACATTTCCAAGGTCGTGGCACAATATCTCTCCCCCTCACCCACACGCACACACACATGCTCAAAACCTTGTGTTTAATCAGGAAGAAAAGATTAATGAAGTAAATAAAATATGAGCAGTGGTTGACTGTGTTGCTGTGAAGCTAATGACTTTGCTGCTAACTCCAAACAGCAGTGCTCTTTATCTGTTACATTTTATTTTGGTCTGCTCGCACTTCAAAGTATCGGCCTTCAAAAACCTGGCAAAAGGTTAGTAGATTATATAAAACATAATAATAGAGTGTTTTATTTTAAGCTGCTAACTGCTTTCTCTTGTTTTTCATATAAGGATAAGTGGGTGGACCAAACTTTGAAGCAGCTAAATCATAATGGTGTGAGGGTAATTGATGCAAATGATAATGAAATCAGTCTGGCGGTGATAATTGGGATTTTTGTATTTGTATTACTTGTTGCATGTTGCTTTAAACACTTACATATCACAATTTGGATTGCAAGACTTATTTGAACTCGTATGACTCATCTTTGTTAAGGTTCACCACTGGTAACATCAAACCACAGTCCCACAGCGACTTTGGATTTTCATTGGACTCGTCTTAACTTTACATTAAATTCCTCCTTATTTAGTTATGACTGCTTTCTGTTGTATTTAACTACTTATGACATGAAACCAAGTTTGTTGTTGATGTATTTGTTTAGTAAATGGGCTAATTACTTTAAAATTGCCATGTTCATTATAGCCTTGGAAGTGAATTTGCACAAATATTAATAACATTTGGATTCAGTAGAGATTCAGTTTATCCCTTTGTTTTCTCATTAACTAGATGAGCATTTCTGATTGGTCCAACCTGACCCTTCACCTGGAGGAGACCCTGACCGGTGCTTTAGGTCACTATCTGGACAACTGGAGGCGTAACATATCAGCTGCAGCCAAAGCTGTAGACAAGACACTGGAAGAGGAAAACTTCAGGGACGTCGTCTTGTATTTGGTGGTGATGATCGGCATGCTTGCCTTCATTGTTGTGGCTATCCTGGTGAGCACCGTCAAATCTAAGAGGAGGGAGCACTCTAATGACCCCTACCACCAATACATCAAAGAAGAATGGACTGCTCAGGGTGATGTTAAAACTAGCTTTACAGCTTGAAAATGCATTTATAGACCCTTAAATCACAGCAGTGGTCATCATCATCACTAGATGCAGCAGGAGCAACATATACTGTATATTTTCTATTGTAGTGTGTGTTACTCATTCTAATTAAAGCTGTAAACAAAATAATAAAGTCTAATTGATGCTGTATATCTAACCAGTGGTATCTAACTTATAAACACGACCTACTGTGTCATGTTCCACATGTATTCATCTGAATTCTTTTTATACTGAAGGTGGAAGTTACATTTATTCTTTTAATCCACCATATGAAGATTCTGCCAGTGCTGATGGTTAGACTTTGTCACATTCGCACTTGTAATTCTACCACTGTTCACCTTTCATCCATCTATTTTTACAGTACTTCACTTAAGTGGGTCTCATGGGTGTTCAGCTCTTACAGCTGGCTTCTTCTCTTCAACTGTTCTTTTGTAGCTAAAGTAGTTGTTTATTGGTTACAGGTCGTTTTTTGACTGATTTCCATTTCAAGGTGCTGATATTGTGCATGTTAGCTTTCCATATAGTCCATGCAAACTGCAGAAAATACCTAGGATACAAGTAGGCCTTCTTCTACTGGGGAATTACTTTGTGAGAATCTTAAACTTTTAGTAGGGGCATCACTGTAACACTCCTGAGTCAGTGGCTCATGCATGTTTCTACCTGCAGAGGGCGGCAGAGGCTCCATCTCAAGCAGACAGAAAGGAAGTAGATTAATGAGAAAGGCAAAAATAGAGCTGCAGCTGCTGTTGCTTTGTCATAGTGTAAACATGGTGTATGTGAAGATTAGAGGAAGGTTTTCAATTGATGTGTAGGTTTGTTGTAAATGTGCAAATGTTGCACAGTACATGTACATAGATACTGTACATAGACTCATATGTATGGATGTATGTATAACAATTAACACAGACAAATGATCTGACTTGATCTTTACACACCTGTTGCAATAGTTCATGAGCTGTCATGTAAAATATGTTCATTAACTTTCTACTTTGGCACCAAACCACCTTGGTTTTGGTCCTAACAAAACTAAATTCTTCAGACTTACCAAACCTCCAACCCTCTAGTGTACATCTCTCTTCCTTAAAGAGCCATGTACTGTAACTCACTATTAAACCCCCAACTCTTGTCCTCTACTATCTCTTTCTCATTTGCCATTTTATTTTTAGCATTCAAACAACTGGTCTCCTAAAAATGGGCCTGTCCTGCATGAGTAGGGGTAGAGGAGTGCTGCTATGTATGGTTTCCACCCTCCACAACCCCACAAGCCTGACAGTACTCCTCTTTCGCCTTTGTGTCTGCAGACAGAAGGCTTGAAGGAGTGATCGCATTGGAAGAAACAGGTGCTGGGTCCTGAAGATGTTTCTATGGACAGCTTGGGATGCTTGAAAACTGCCACTCACTGACCACTTTTTACCTCTAAAACTTTCGGTAACATTTCCTACATTTCTGTACCCATCCATAGGTCTCAGGTGACCTTTCTGGTTGTGCAGTCTCATACTGTGAAACTAAACCGTTCTGTGACTACTGGGGGATTGTGGTAGATCTGGACCATGCTTTCCCTTTGGTTGTTCTTGCTCCCTTGCCTGAGCCTTGTGCCTCTGGCCTCGGCCAAGAAAGGTCTGGAGTTCCCACAGTATGATGGGAAAGACCGCGTCCTAGACATCAATGACAAGAACTACAAGAAAGCCTTGACGAAGTACAGCATGCTGTGCCTGTACTATCATGAGCCCATACCAGAGAACAAGGATCTTCAAAAACAACACCAGATGACTGAGTTGGTGCTGGAGGTAAAGTATCAAGAAGCGGAAAGCAAAGGAGGAAGTAGGTAGAGAAAAGACATAGGGTCAAATTAAAGGCACAAAGAGAGGGAGAAGAGCATGGATACAAAAAGTTATGTGTGTTGGCAGTGGAATGAGGGACAGGACAACAGGTCGATATAAAAAGTATGACTCCACAATAGTGCTCCAACAAGCAGAACGCATCCTGGGATATGAAATTTCAGATATTTCTGTTTTAATGTTAATACTGTTTGAGTTTCCTCAAGGTCACTGTATAAGTGTATGTACCTTATGAGTCCACAGTAGTCCAGTGACATGTAATGTTCTCACTTAAGGCTATTTCAGCCTAAGTCAGTGTATGTTTCCATTCTGTAGAAATGCATGAGGCTAATTCTTGAGCTATATTTATGAAGGGCACAGCTGCCCTCTCCTTCATTGTTATTTTATAACTTCAAGTCCTTAAGGGTATTTTATGTTCAGGCTCAGCTGAGTTGCTGGGTAAATGTGCAATTGACAGATTAAATGAGCCTTGCTGTTTGAATCACATACAGTAGAAAAAAAAGTACACTGTCTCATGTTACACATGGCGAAGAGTTGATCTCTGATTTGTTGAAAGTAATGTGAGCCCACTTATGAAGTTCTGGCATTTGCTGTTTTTATTTTACACAGCTCCAGTGGGTCATGTCACTCTAGAGTCAGGCACCATGTACGAAGAACACAGTCTACTTAGTGACTGCTAGTGTAAAGTGAGCAGATATAGTAATAAACATATTTGTGTTCTCTTTGTTAATTTGTGGATTTGATATAAACCTTTGTTGATCCCTTACCACCATCTAAACTGATAACAGGATATGAATTGTGCCACCTGCACGCTCACACGTGCATTTTACACAGTACAGACAACTTGTGAGCCCATGCAGCGCTGTTATTGCTCAAAAACTCCACTGCTCCACTGGTTACCTGGAATTTTGCCCAGAGCTTTTCCCTGTGCATTGAAGAAATCACATTAATCATAAACTGAATAGGCTTGTTCCATTTATTTAGGGATCACTGTGGTGGGAGAGTCCAAATGTCAATCAGCTTACCCACTATGCTGCACAAAACAATTGCCAGAACAATTATAGAGGCTCTTGCTTTGGTTATATTTAGAACAAGGCAGTCTGGGCCATTATGTAATGTTGTCATTACGGTCCCCAAGCAGCTTGGGCACCACTGACAGCTTGCCAACTTTAGTTTTTTTTTCTTAAGATCTTATCCAGCACCACAGTCAAGCTACCATTTTTTTCCACACAAGCAGCCTCACTGAATATTTTCACTCACCTGGGATTTTTGTTTGAAGAACTTAGAACCCAGAATTAATTTTTTTTTTTGTCCAGCTTCTTTACATTGTTTATGTTTGGTCCTGTTCTTACCATTTAGTCCATCACAAACCTTTTCTTTTGACTGCAGCTTGTAGCTCAGGTTCTGGAAGAGAAGGACATTGGTTTTGGAATGGTTGATGCCCACAAAGATGCAAAGGTGGCAAAGAAACTGGGTGAGCGCAGCATAACTTTTATTTAACCCCCTTTATCTGACTGGTACTTGCAAGTATTGAAGGATTACACTTAATTACAGTTATTAACCCTAAGTTAAATAACATTAGGAACAGTCTTTAACTAAATGTAATAGCTTGCAATTTTCTTCAATCACAGGTTTGGAAGAGGAAGGCAGCATATATGTTTTTAAAGCCGACCGAGTGATTGAGTTTGATGGCCTGCTGTCTGCTAACACCCTGGTGGAGTTTTTGTTGGATGTGAGTAGACTGGTTGAAGGGGAGATTCCCAGCTGCCGGCACTAATCAACACCAGACTTACTCCACTACTTCTCTCTCTACTTTCTGTGCATTTACTTTAGCTTCTGGAGGAGCCAGTGGAGGTGATAGGAAATGCTTTGGAGCTGAGAGCCTTCGACAGGATGGAGGAAGACATCCGCCTCATTGGTTACTTTAAGAGTGAAGACTCTGACCGTGAGTGTGTGAGGCTGTTGGCATCTTTGTAAATGTATGTTTTTGGTGTCTGTGTATTGTCTGTGACTCATGCCCTTCATTATAACATGACTGCAGTTTAACCTGCTCATCTCCATGGATTTACAGATCCATTTTTACCACTGCACACACAGCTGCCACATGCTTTGGAAGGACCGAGTCTAGAGTAGTGTACTTATAGTGATGAGCTGCAGCTACAGTACATCCCATCAGACCAACTATGGGAGCATTAAGTGGAGGTCAAAGTTAAGCTATTTCCATTCCCTGATGTGCAAATGTCATGCATACACCAGTCAAAGAAAGCACAAATATCTGTGTTCAACAGGGACATAGCAAAACCCTGTTGTGCTTAAGTACAGTATTACAACATGACAACACTGAGCACCCTACATAACCCATGTTTCCTCCTTGTTCTCTTTTATTCTCAGATTATGAAGCATTTAAAGAAGCTGCAGAGCAATTTCAGCCCTACGTTAAGTTCTTTGCCACTTTTGAGAAATCTGTAAGTAACAAACACACAAACAGTTCAACAGACACTTCATTATTCATGACTGATCTGTCATTGCTGCTTCAGGTGGCCAAGGAGCTGACTCTGAAGTTGAATGAGGTGGATTTCTATGAGCCCTTCATGGAGGAACCGGTCACCATTCCAGGCAAGGGTCACTCTGAGGAGGATCTGGTGGCATTTGTGAATGAACACAGACGGTAAACAAATAGCAACATTGAAATAAATACTCCATATAAGTGTAGTTAGGATTTTTTTTAAGTGTATTGTAGTGTAACATCCAAGGTGTTTTCTGTGCCATTAGACCAACTCTGAGAAAGCTGCGTGCAGAAGATATGTTTGAGACCTGGGTGAGTGATCCAGATACAATATCAACAGCTTTAAATTTAGTTTTCCCAGACAGTTAGAGTAACTTAACATTTATTTTTTTTTTGGTTTTCTTAGGAGGATGATATTGAGGGCATCCACATTGTAGCTTTTGCAGAGGAGGAGGATCCTGGTGAGAGCGTGTTATATGTTATACCACTTTTTGTTATTGGTGGCGATGAGGAACATGATCAGTCAATCAATAATTCAAATTTAGTATAGCACATTATTACAGTCCCAACCAGCAGTTGTACAGCAGAGATTTGAATCAGCTAATGCTGCGTGATATTGCTTTCTGACAGATGGCTATGAGTTTTTGGAGATCCTGAAAGAAGTGGCTAGGGACAACACTCACCTACCTGACCTCAGCATCATCTGGATTGACCCTGATGACTTTCCCCTGGTGAGCCATGACAGCTTTAGGCTTAGACAGACAGAAAGCCAGTGAAACTTCAACGTGATCTTTGGTTCTTCTTCTCCCTTCAGCTGATCCCCTACTGGGAGAAGACCTTCAATTTGGACCTGTTTAGACCACAGATCGGGGTAGTCAATGTTACAGATGTAAGTCCATGACAACCTGATGACCTGTTTGAATGTAGTGTTGAGTTTCTGCTGCCGCTGTTTGACTTCTGTGTCTGTGTTTGTGAGCAGGCCGACAGCGTGTGGATGGACATGGAAAATGAAGAGGATCTGCCCAGCGCCCAGGAGCTGGAGGACTGGATCGAAGATGTTCTCTCTGGCAAAATCAACACTGAGGATGATGATGATGATGACGACGACGATGATGATGACGATGACGACGACGATGAATAATTTATGAACAAGAAATCGCCACAAGCTTAAGACAACTGTAAAGTACATTTTTACAAAACTTATACTGAATTGCTAAAAATGATACTAATAATAAGTCTATTTAATATCCAAAGTTTTCATTTATTGATGGTGTAAATAAGTCTGGAGCGAGTTTTGGGAATTTAAAATAACTAATAAATACATGTATCAAAATGTCTGGATCAGACATTTACCTCATACATGACATTAATTTACAAAATATAAGTGTTCATAATAAAGGTCTATCAAGTCAAATTTTATTTTTATAGCCCAATACAACAAATCATTTTCTTAATTACTGTACAATAATTGTACAATTCTGAGGTACTTTGGGTCCCTTCATGTACTGCTACCTTATACCTACTCCACTACATTTTAGAAGGAAATATAGCAGTTTCCTCCTCTATTGTTCCATTAATCATCTCACAACCCCTCTATGTCACATCGGTCAAAATACATAGTTCTGCATACACGTTAATTTGTATAATTTAAATACATTTAGCTGATAATACCTCTGTACTTTTACTTAAATAAAATGTTCAATGCAGGACTTTTACTTTGGCAGTTTTGGAGTATCTTTACATTGTTATATTAGTAATTTTACTCACGTGAAGGATCTGAGTGAGCAACACTTTTGAAATGTTATCATCTGTGCAGTTGCATAAATTGTGGCCCATTGTCTTCAGTGTCAATAAACCAAAGTGGGTCTTAAATATATTTTTCCAGTTCCCTTTCATTCTCCACCCTCCTTTCAGAAACTACAACTTCAGAAGCGAAGTTTGGCTTACCTAGTAAAGGTACATTTTCTATCCAGGCGCTTATGGCTTTAAAATTGTAAAGCCCACATGCGGACAGTCTCGATTTTCAACACAGAGCCTCTAATCTCTTCTTTCACCTCTCACTATACTTTGTCTTTCACCATCATGTTTATTCTCATCTGAATCAATGGGGCACGGAGGAGCTGCTTAGGGAGATAATACTGTCATTACACAACTGGAGCAACTAAAGAAAACTTGTCCAAATATTCCAGTACAGTCCTGTTTGTCTTCCTCTCTGCATTCCTGTACTTCTTTTTTTGGCTTTGTTGCTTTCTCGTTGCTTGCTCCTTGTCTCTCTCTGCACACAGAAACAACAGGGAAAAATTATACTGGAAAATTAAAAACAACAGCAGAATCACCCTGAACAGTAACCAATGTTAGACACATTTTTTTAAATTTAAAAAACAATCCTGCATTATCAGATCAGTAATTTGTGTTATCAAGTGGTTAGTGGAAGGATTTTTGGACCACAACATGAGAACGATTTTTCCCACTATCTTGCCTATGGATGCTTTGGAGAAGGTCTAGCACATTTTCAAATGATCTATATCTTTTATAGTCACAACTGCAGAAACACCGGTGATCATACTGTTAACAAAAACATATTTTAAATATAAAGTACAAGTGTGGTGGATTGCCTTTTCTGCACAGCTCTTTCTATATACCTGCTTAAATTAAAGCTGAGACTTTCATTTTAATGCAGTATTCATTGTTTTATTTCTAATGAATGTGCTGTAGAATGGAGCCTGAAGAACAAAAACAACAAATTAATATCCAAATACATTCTGGAGTGTTAAACTGGCTTTTTCACAGACTGAAGGTGTGAGAAAAGTCACCTCCCTGTTGAATAAAAAATAAAAAATGAATCCAATTAAACAGTTCTAATGAGGATTAAAAATATTAAACAAACCCTATTTCTCTATAATCAGTGATAAAATCAATATAACTATAGGCCTAAGTGCAGTGTTAAATTCCCCAAATAACACATGTACTTACAAATATCACTATCCAAGTGTTTGTTATTATCACCAAGCTACTGTAAAATGTACTACAGCACTAGATTCTACCAATGAAACTACAGTGAAATAACAGACATGTATTCAAAAAAACGGACTCAATAAACTCACCGTATATATTAATGCTGATAAATTCAAAGTTCATCATTACATAAAAATACAACAATAATCAAATACCTTAAAAATGTCAATACAAATATTTATTTTTGTAAAAATGTGACTTTGACACAGCTGCTGACTTGACATGTTCTCTTGCATGAAAGAAGATGGACCTGCATGATGTTTGCTTTCCCAAATGTACAATCTGTTTTCTTTTATTCTCTTCTACTCACTTCTTCTCTGTCTCTCTCTCTCTCACACACACACACACAGACAGAAGCACACTTGAAAACGTCACATGTATGCTGAGCAGATCCTTAATATGTATAACTGAGGCATATGTGTAGTCAGAAAGTATTTACAACTGTAACACTCTAAAATCCTAAACCAAACTACACCGTCAGTGACCACAGTAACACTTCTGTAAATATACATTTACAATATAATGTTGTAACACACGCAGAGGATCTAAAAACACATCAAAATATTCATCCAAACAGTGTGACTGTTACTCATGATAGTGTTCCTGTTCCAGTAGTGGTCGATAGGTGGCGGTAATGTTCACAGACAAAATACTGACAGTGGGTGGATTTAATCTAAGATGCTTTAATTTACACTATGTTTTCACTTCTTTAAACACTTGCCAGGAAGAATCAAGTGTCTATTAATTTTAGCCAGGGATTTTATGTCAGAGAAAAAAAATCTTCTGAAATACCTCCTGTAATCAGTGCATTGTTTTATGAGAATCTCGTTGCTCGGTATGCTGTAATTCATTTGGCTATCAGGATTTATGTTATGCAGAGAAAATACATTCCTCTACTCCTCTTTATGGTGTGTTAGGATCAAATAAGGGGCACAGTTCTGAAATCAAACAAGGACAAAAGCATAAACTTTAGCATGAGATATAAAAATGTCAGCCACGTGAACCTCAGAGCTGTCCAAACATTAAATCTCTCTCCTGGCCTACAAGAAAAATTAGCACACACTTAACTGTACAAATGCAAACATAACAAGCAGTCAGATGTGTTTGTTCACAATCTATCGGCTAGGCCCTTTGTATTCAGCTGTACTGTGGTTGACATTCAGTTCAGGAGACTCCAGTGATCTGTCTGACACTTACAAACACATCTTCAGCTATTTACAATCAGGTTATCACCACAAAGCGCAGACAAACACGATTAAACAACACGTTTAAAAAAGCACAATTGATTTAAAAGTGTGGCAGAAGAAATTATATTCACATATAAATACTGTACATACATCTGTAACACAGGACAGTTAAATAAGCATTGCTAAGACGTAGAAAGGTTTTGGTGAAAAAGGTTTAGTTTATATCAAATGTCTTGGTTACTATAGTAACGCTACGGAGAAAGGGGATAAAAGTTGAGACAAACTCAGATTATACTACACTCAACATACACACTTTTGCATCCTAAATCACACACACTCCTAAATCATAACCTCTCCCACACAGGCACACACTGGCACATGCAAATAAAGGAAGAAGAACATTTGTGAGGGTCATTTGAAGTGCATAGAGAAATACCTGAACTGTGTCAGGACTGAGAAATCCAAGCACATTCCCTCCTGTTTTCTGTCTTTCACTGTCTTTTTTTGTCTCCCAGCACAGCGACAAGGACAAAAAGATACTCTGTGTGAATAAACACAAGTACAAAAAACAGTACAAAAAGCTATTTTTGAAAAAAATCTGTCAGTCCTGTAAGTCCATATGAGCAGCAGCAGCACAGTGGGTCTGTTAAACTGAAGTTTCTGATTGGAGTAGCAGTATAAACTTATGTGACTTGGGGTCAATGTATTTTTCAGTCAGTCGGATGTATGGGATGCTTTTAATGGTGACAGCTAAGCTAAAATCAAGACACTTCAGTAGGAACTCTGTTCCCTCCTTTATGCCGCTGGTAACAGAAGCTTCGCTGACCAAAGTCCATTGATCAGCCATCCAGCGCTCAGGGCCATACTGCAGGGTCGGACCAGGGGCCAAGTAGGCCTCAAGGAAGGCCTGGAACACACAAACACAGCCAGTGATTCTCCAACATTCAGTTTGGGTGGGATGGGTCTAACATCTTTTGGACAATCATTCTTGGGGAATATGGCAACATTGGTAAACTACAATTATGCAAGGCAAAAAACACAAGTTGACTAATGCAGACTTAAGATGAATGCTAAGCTTGAAATGTGTTGTAAGCCACAACAGCCTCAGATCCACACCTCTTGTGTGTTCTTCATACCGATGATTACCTGTGTTTGGCCCAAATATATGACATTTTAAACTGTCTCACTTTTTTGCATTTGATGCCTCCCCTTTTTTTTCTGAGGACATATGAGCAGTCAGACAATGATACATACATTTTGAAAAGCAGATGGGCACCGAATTTGCTGTTGTTGTACACACAATTTAATGTACATTTTGGTGGTGAACCTTTGGTTTTAACCTTAAGTAAAGTGGTTTATATAAAGTTCAGGCTGCATGCTTCCTCTAAGTGAAGTGGGCTCTTTGTTAAACTAACTTAAGAACTGCAATACCACAGTTTATGCTGTAGTGATGAGATTTCTTTGTGGTTTTGAAGTGCCACAGTCCCAGCTTAAAAATATTTTGAATAACCAGGCTATAGTGTTGGCTTGTGTACAACCTGTCTGATCATCAAAATACATTTTTGTTGCCAAGCTCCATTTGTCATCATGCCGGTGAGTACAAATCAATCACAATTGATAGACATGATGACCAGAACTATGAAAATAAGATTCTGAATGTAATAAACAGGAATAATAATTAAAGGCCTGGAAACACTGACTTCTGCAGTGTGAAATATTCTTTTCTTATTAAAACTTCAGTTTTCTAATTCAAGGTTCAAGGCAAACTCACTTTAGGGCTCATGTTATTGATGAGGCAGAAAGCAAGATGTTTCTGGATGCTCTCCATGCTGTGGCAGTGCTGCCTCCTGGTAGTGCGGAGGTATTTCTGCAGGGCACGAGCCATAGATGGAAATATGGCAAGAGCTGCTTCACGCACATCCATAATGTCAGAAGGTGTTGCAATCTCATCTTCTTTCTTCATCCGCCGGACATGAGTGAAGGCCTCCTCTACAGCCACCACCAGCCTGGCAGTGAAGCACCACACACATACACCATAATATTATAAATGTTCATCCATGCAGGTGGGCATAAATAAAAACAAAACATAAGAAAACTCCAGGTTTGACTTATATTGTGCTTTCTTTCACCTCTTTAGGCCCTCACTGTGTCAGGAACAAACATTTTACATCATGATGTGACATAAGAAGAATCTTCTCAGCAATTCAAAATGGGGTAATTTGCAAGTTTTCTGGTGTATTAAACCAAATGAATTTGCTTTGTGCATAAGAAATAATATTTAAATAATAAATGACCTCTATATTCAGTCTCTCATATTTAACTTTGCACTGTGTAACGTTTAAGTTGATATGAAAGTGTAAAATTCTGACTGGTGTTGCTGTACTATACACAGTCATTGTTAGAGGAAGTACTCAAATTGTTTATTTAAGTAGCAATACCACAACGTAAAAAACAAAACAGTTACAATGCATTCAAAATGTTACTTAAGTAAAAGTTCAGAAGTATAAGCATAAAAATATACTTAAAAGTGCAAAAAGTACTCATTATGCAGAATGGCACAGTTTACATTAATGTGTAACATATTATTGGATTATAATTATTGATGTATTATTGCATACGTGACATTTAACGCTGCTGCTGCTAACTGTGCAGCTAATGTTAGCTACATTATATAGTTATAATATGAAGTACTTCTTGCTGGATAGCTTGTGAATTTTACACAAGGATAGATAATTACAAGTCATAACAAATATACTATATGTTGTTTTATGAATCTCATTCAGAAAATTAAATTAGTAATTAAAGTAAAATGTAAAAAAATGCAGCGAGTATAAAGTACAATAACTTTTTCTGAAATGTAGTGAAGTAGAAGTATGACGTACTCTAGCAGAAAACTAAAATATTCAAGTAAAGTACAGATACTTAAGTACAGTAAAGAAGTAAATGTACTTAAGTTACTTTCCACCTCTGTATGCAGTCACCAGTATGCTGTCATGTGTTCACCTCATGACTCACCTGGCTCTACGTTTGCGGACTCTTCTCTCGTAGTCGGCCTCTTCATAGTACAGCTCACTGTGGGCGCTATCTTTGCGTTTGGCGGCAGCTATCGCCCGTGACTGATTCCCGTTACTGGACTGAGCCCCTGCTGTGTTCCCTGGGGCTGAAACAAAAGAAAAGGGCAGAAGCAAATTGCTTAGATCAGTTTCAGCTGCAGGAAGTGGTGCCTGATCCCACCAGACACTGATTAATGGGCTGCATCTCAGTCTCAGTCACATTAGAGAAGAGCTCAGATCTGAAGCACCACTGGAGGTGTAAAACAACTGTAAATTGACCTACTGGGTCAGTATTGTGCCTGATTCATACTCCATGCATGTTTGAGCAAGATTTGAGGACTGTATGTTAATCATTGTAACTTATTTGGGTCATCCTGCCAGATCATGTGTCTCAGTCACAGTAAATGTTAATTAGAGCACTGAGAAAAGAAGCAATTTTCACTGGAAGCATCTCCACAAACAGTCTGATGCAGAAACCTTGTTACTGAGGGGCAGCAGATTAACTCTTCATCATTTTATATTTCAAAGGCCACAGCTTTCACCTGATTTGTGAATTTACTGGTTTGTATGGCAAACCCATAAAGCTAATGGAGCTTTTACAGCAATAAGTTAGAATTTTTGGGGTTACATTTCAAGGGGTTGAGATCTGGTCTATATTTACAAAGATCAGTGCGGTTTGGGGGAAGTTACAGAGAGTAAACCCTGCAGGTCAGGTAAGGATATAAATCATCCAAATCTGATCTGCATATGTATGTTTATGTTTGTGTGTAGGTGAGACAGAGACTGAATGTAGCAATAAAACAGGGGTAAAAAACTACTATAATGCAAACTGTGCACAGGGAGCACTATAAATATTTTTCATTGAAAACAGCAGGGGGTAAACAGCAGCTTCTTTAGCTTCCTGGCCTACATATTCATATTATAAGAAGAGCGACTGGGAATGAACAGGGAGTGGGTTTGTGGGGGTTGAAGTGGGTGAAAAAATGAAAAGAAGAAGTGGGAGAAAGAAGAAAGCAAGTCACACTGGAGATGAGCTGAGCGGGAGGAAGGAGACATGTGGAGGCATGTGAGGAATAAGCGTTACTCTGATCAATTATTTAAGGATTGAAATTATGCAGCCCCCTTGAGGCCTTTCCACTGCACTCTGGTAGAGAAGGGGATGGGGCGGATGAAAGGTGCTACAAAGACACCATACCCCACACTGCATCCCCGCCATAAATCATCAAATCCACTGTGCTGTGTAGGTGGGGGATTGACAGGAGGAGAGTGGAGTGCCCTTTTGACTGTAGCACAAGAGGTTAATATGTGGCCGGGAGGAAATACATCAAGACCACTGCAGTGTCACAGATAGAGTATGTGAGTGTCTGTGTGTTGGTGTGTGTGTAGTAGGAGTACTTTCTCCCGATGTAATATGTACATAATGTCAGGAATGGAGGCTTTATAGTGTGGTAAAGATGAAACAAACTAAATTGTGAAATTAGCACAGCTGCTAACTACTTAAAATAAGTCAATTTTTACCATTGTTCATACCATTGTTGTTGTTCATACCATTGTTATTCTATCTTAGTTGTTAGTTAGTTGCATTAGACTAATCTAAGAGCCAAATTAAAACTGGTTTAATACAACAGGTCAGCATCAACCTTTCTCATTTTGCTAATCATTGTGCTGCATAGGACTACTGTTTCCTGCGGTACTAGTATTCACTTCCTGCTTACTGTGCCTGTACTTGCTACCAGATTGTTCACAGATTAAGCTCAGTAATTTCTAGGTTTATCTGAACAGCTATTTTTTTGAGTCACAACATATGCCTGCACTACTTAAGCATAAAGTCTATAGACCTTACTTTGTAAAGTGTCTTGATACGACTTTTGTGTAATTTGGTGCTATACAAATAAAATTGAACTGAATATAAAACATCTTTCTGACACAGGCTGACCACTGAGACCCAATGAAACACTAAGAGGCACATTGACTGAAATGTTCAACAATACATGAAGAAATTAGGTGACTAACCATCTACGTTGTAGACCTTTAAACCAGCCAGGTGTTTGGCAGCCCGGTGCTTTGCAGCAGAGAGAAGTGCTGGGTTATGGACTGGGAAATCTCTGTAGTAATACTCCAAAATGGACAGAGCAGCCCTCTGAATGCTGTGTAAGATGAGAAAGATTGAAAGTGAACACTCAGAGAATGTAGGAATGCAATTATGGCTGACTAGCATAAGACACAGAATAATGCCCCTGAATGCACTGAATGGTTTTCAGACAAAAGAAGATACTTTCTTTTGGATCTTATGCGTTGCTCATCCTTGTCAAACTCTGGAACCTAAATTACCCACACTGGAACTTAATTGCTGACAGGTTGTTTGGAGATTTGGATGTGTTATTCTAGTAGCTTTTATTGTAGCCACAAACAGACATAGGAGGGACATGAGGAGTGGGCTTTTACTCATTTGTACAGTAATACTCTCTAAAATTTGCAAATAGACTTTGATGCACAACATTGGTGCAGTCCCCTTTAAGTTAATCATATGATGTGTATGCTTAATCCATTTCTGTATCTCATAGAGGTCTTAACTTCCTGTTTGCCATCCTGAAAAACCATTCAAAATCCTACACCAAACCTTACCCAATTATTGCAGTTGTTTCTGTGTACTGTCACAGTTAAATGTTTGTCCAGAGCAGAAACAAAGTCATTTCTTTCTGCTCTGTACATGGGCCTGTCTCCGACACTTTCGCATTGCTCCCCCCAGACTCTCAGAATAGCTTGTCCTGAGCAAACTAGACTGATGAGTAAATCAATTTTAGCCTGTGGCAGTCTCCTCTGTGGATATGGGCCTCCAATTACACACATACTTCAACATGGTAGAGTACAGTTGTGACCAAGTGCAACTTTATGTATCTCGGTGTGTAATGTACAGAAAGGTCATGTTCATATGTAAAATTGCAAAAGCTTATTTTACATTCATCAGTCTTGTGTGTCATTAGGAACTGCATCCATGTAATGCACATAGACAAAGTAATCATAGTGAATGAGCATACATACCTGAGCTGTCCTATGTTGTAGTGACGTGTCTCCCCGTCTGTGGAGCGGATAACGCAGATGCTGTAGCAGGGTTGGAGCTGGCGGAGCTCCAGCAACACTACGGCCAGGTAGTGGACAAACAGCTGGGAGTCCACAAGGGACACAGCAAACTGGACAATACCATGGTAGTCCTCGTCCTGACCAAAAAAAACATTCACTGCTGTTGGATGAAAATGACGTCTTTCGACTTTATTTAACTACAAAACCTTTATGGTGCTGAAAAAAAATCCTGTTTTCAGAAACAGTCATGGTCAAAATAGGCAGCCATAGCAACACTTAGATAACATACCAGAGATAACACAATATATGTCCCAAAATCAGAAAATAAAATGAAAGATTACTTAACTTTGAAGCCATAAAAATACTTTTAATGCTCTTACAGGACACTTTCAAACCCACCTGAGCATCAAGGATCCGGACCCCATAGAAAAGCCAGTAAGACATGGTGAGCAGGAGAGTGAGTGTGGTGAGGAAGGCACGGTACACACACACTCTGGGCAGACTGGCGCGGCCCGGTCTGAGAAACAAGGCCCATATGGCCACCAGGAGGATAAGGAGCTTGAAGGAGATGGAGAGGAAGAGTCCCTCACAGGCTGTGCCACAAGCCTGCAACCTGTCTGGCCATATTACTGCAGGAAGGAGCAAAAAGACCAGGGGTGTGGCCAACACCAGCAGCCCCACACATGAGCCCACAGCCAGGGGAAGATAGCGGCGGAAGCCCCGGGGCCCGGCCCCGACT